TGAATGTGACATAATGCAAATCAAGTGATAAAAACCTTTATATTGGTATGTATTTATTCAACATGTTCATAATTTATTCTTAAAATTAGACTGAGTCATCCGTAGCACAGATCACACAACTATACCCAGATGCGAAACCTAGGCCTCCCGCCAGAACCGAATTTGTAAGTGCGGCGTCAAAATGTTTACAGGGGCGAATTACGAGTCTAAAGATGGGTTAACCACTCTACTTCATTCTGGCAATGATGAATGATAAGAAATGTTCATTTTTCCCCAGTTTTATTATTCAACTTTATTAGTTACTGATATGTGTAGCCAAAGTTGTCGATACATGAGTTTTTTTCATTATGAATATACCACACAAATACTATTACCATTTCTGTGAATAGTGTAGGTCGAAGAGTGATGTGTAAAATCAACGATACATTTTTCTATGTGTATACGGTACTGTTATTCATGGTGACGAATTTCAAGCCATCGAACTTCAGAGGTGACATCAAACCTTTCGCATTTTGCTAGTTGGGTGATGTGTGTCTATGGTGACAGCTCTCATTCGTAAGTAAAAGTTTGGTTCAACAGATGAAAGGTGATCCAGAAGCGAACAAGAAGGTAAATGGACCAATTTTCAAGTTACTTTATGTTACTGAACAAAATCAGATACCTTTATACTGTTGAAAACTTGTTGGCTCAAAATATAACTGCATAGAAAATTAAAATAACTAACTGAGAGGAATTTGAATAAAACTCGAAATGAAACATTGATTTTTGAAGATGTATAAAATTTTACTCCTATCCTTTGATTTTCCAGTAAGCTGTAAGCTTATTGCGTTGACTTCATTCTCCATCCCGTCATCTTTGGCCACATCAGCTGTAAAATGAAAGATTTCAGTAATCGATAAGTAAATCTTCACTTACCTTCATTACTGATTTTCTTACACCACACTTCGAAAAAGCGATACTTTACTCAACGATTTCTACACCATGTTCAGTTGGAACCCCAGAGCGGTTAAGTCTTATTGCTTATATATCAAAGTACGAAGATGAATAATTCATGACATAAAAATAGTCCACTTCCAATCACTGGACTCGAAATAGGATTTGAACCACTAGTCGAAATTACTATGTAAGGCAAAACCGAAGCTGTCTCTTCATACAACCTTCATACAACTACTAGTACTACAGCCCATTGAGGTTTGGTAACTGAGAATTGAAACACCCTGTAGTATATGTAAGAGAAAATATATGTATTCAGGAACTGGAGCTCGCAATATTCTCCACCTTATCGATCTCGAGTATTCCACACATTTCTGAGGTATGCTTCCATATTGACAGCATGATAATATACCAATCAGTTGCGGCGTGTCAAACGAGGCCAAGGACAATAGGAATCTTGATGAGTAGACTAGTGTGAATACTGAATACTCAAAGTTAGTAGGTATGTACTAATATTTTATTGTATTGTATTACATGCATATAAGGGGTGAATTGAATAAACTGCGACCTAAATGATAAACTATGCCCCAGTCCTTTGCTTTACCTGATGAGGTTGCTCTCCGTACAGGTTTAGGTGACAGCGATAGTCAAAGGAAAAGCGAAGAATTAGTTTCAAGTTTAGCAAGAGATGACCAAGTATCAAATATTTCTAGATACTCAAACTCAATTGAAGATGAAAAAAATCATTCTTGAAGTCTCGAATGAGAAAGACCAAATTCGACATCGATAGAAAATGTGAATAATAAAAAAAATCATCTATTGAAGGAGCATAATCGAATAATTTGAGTTCAATGAACCGCTTGTTATGTGAAGATCAGTGTCTCGTAGTGTCTGATAATAGGACTGATTAATAGCCTGATAATCATACATTATTTTCCTGACCTCTTCAACCATCGATAATAGATGATTGTTTTCAGATCCCATCTGATGCTCAAGTTTTTGATGCCACCCATCACCAAGAATATGGTTCATAACTGTGCAAAATTCAAGTTTGACATGAGGCATGTACTCATGAAGCCTTCACTGTCACATAATGATCGGAATTAGATCCATTATCATTATTTTTAGATCGGAGTGTGTTAGAGTTTCTTTGACTATTCCTAAATATTTTACAATAGCAATATAAGCCAAAATAAATATCTAAATAAGCTAAGCGAAAATGTATCATGAATATAACAACATTCAAGGAAATAATAATGTAATTACCTTTAGATCATTCATTTCTTTTCATTATATGGCTATTCTGTCTTGTCAGATTGTTTGTTGTTAACTAGTTTTTTTTTTCAAGATCATCTTGAGATATCGTTGATGCTGAAAAATAAAAAAAACTGTAAATAGTTTTTGAACACAAGAGAATAAAATGATAGTGCCATTGTATAGTATTTATTTAATTCAACAGAATAATTTCTCTCCATAATATATAAACACGGAAAATTTTATCAGAGGGTTCGTTATCTGTTGCCGATAAGAAACGGCTATATTTTTATGTTAATCGCTTTCCTAATCAGTAAATAAGATATATAATTTATATTGCATATCAGCTCCACTGTATTTATAGTGCTTTTGACTCGTAGATAACATACTGATAATATTTTCCAGTTTCTTTATCATTATAGCTATTAAAAAATGAATATTCCTTTTCACAGACACAAACTCTTTATTACAGTATGTTCCTGACATTCCAATTGCCCTACTAGCAGGTTGAGAATTCGAAATCATCACAAATAAGTGTACCTATATAGATAAAAATCTAATAGGGTATTTTTTATACTTATTTAATACGTATTTCGGTTCAATCTGTTTGTTCAGATTCTAATATTAATAATTACAAAATAATGCTGAAGGCAATGGATTGAAAATATGCTTGAATTGTTGACACTATGAAGAATACAGGGTCCTGAATACATACTAGCTCCCTCTATGAGTCGAACGTTGAAGCAAGTTCATACATAGAAGAAAACTCTCGAACATGTTTCAGTCGAACAATGATTCGATAGAAATCTACTCTACAATGCAGCTCCAGCTATGAAATGAACGATGAACTAAATTCGCCTACTTCATAACGTTCAGGAAGACATCTTTTGCTTTTCATGTTCTCGAATATTGATAGAGGACATCACTACTAGATTAGGCAGTTTATTGCTCTGAGCAGATATTCAAATTGTTCACATATACCTAACGTTTCAACAAATATTTGTACGCAAATAAGTTGAGAACATGTTACAAAAATACAGAATGATAATATGTAAATACAAAAATGATGTTATACATTATTGAATCTCTATCGTACAGGAATATGAAATTTTACCTACAGCCATTAACTATTCATGACCTAATTTTGAATTTTACTGTGATACTGTGATCTACAATAATTATACTTGACCCATTTACGCGGAGTTCTATTTTTGAATTCAGATGGCAATGAATAGTTATTTATTATACAAGGGAAAAATACATTTTCCCCGTGTATAAATACACTATTTTTTTCTGTGACAAAAAGAAGAACGAATCAATATTGAGAAGATATTACATTATATTAAAATGAGAAAATTGTCGACGTGGAATTTGAAGTTTTTAACAGGAATATGACACCTGCGTTGCGGGCATCTTCATCATTCTTTTGAAGTAATCAAATATTTGTCAGTGTAATTCTGTGATTTGATTTTCAAAAATTTACCGTAGGAAAAAAGTAATTACTGATACATTAACCTGAC